CTTTCTGCTACTAAAAATACAACAGGAAAAAAGAGGTTTGATGCAGGAATGAATGGTAGCACTATTAAGCAGAGTGCCTAGAGAAGAAATGCAAAATAATTAGTAATCAAAATTAGGCAATGACAAACTGCACCTAAGAAACAAATTATGTAGCCATTACAGAAAAACACATAAATCATAGATTTTGGGGTTTTTGTTTTCTTTTAAACATTAAGATCTGTTTTACATTAAGACCATCCTGAACACGGTAACTTGCAAAAAACCCTATTCCTTACTGAAGAGACTACAACTGTATTTGCTTTTCTATATAGCAGAAAAGAGCAGATGTATGACGGAACAATAGGATCAAAGGATCAAATTCGAAACACTATTTTAATATAAGGTCTACATACAAAAACATTACAGTCTAAAAACTTTGGACATTATCTTTTATAACAATTAAAAATATATACCAGCTTACTTGTGAAGAAACAATATAAAAGTCACTATCAACGACTGAATTAACATGAGTATTTACATAGGGTATCCTGAAATATTCACAATGACAACGGATTTCAGAACTGTATAATTGCAGCTCTTGGCTTGGTGACAGACATCTTAATAGAAGGTGTGTTTATTAAAAGATAGAGAAATCCATTTGCTGCAATGGAAGTGAACTGATTGTTAAATAGCAGCTTTACAAACTGTGGTATCAGAAAAGATTTAAATAATTATTTCAAAATACTTGGGCTCCAAGGTACAAAAAAGCAAAACTCTTACAGAAACTGAATGCTTCTTTGAACAAAGAAAAGAGGAAATTTCTATGAAATTTCAATACAACTGCGTGTCACCTTCTGCTTAGATTTAAGCTTAATTTTAACAACCTTTTCCATGCTAAAATAGTTAAGACATCCAGTTTGAAAGTCAATCTATGAGTTAACATCAATTTAAAACTTCAAGCAAGCTTTTATCTCATATTTCATGGGGCCAAGAATATGCATGTTGATCATTAACATGGTTCAGTTGATCCACAGCAATTAAGCTACACAAAAATAAATAAATAATTGAGCCTTGACAATGTCATGAGCACCATATAGAGAAGATGCTGATTTCTTGGGGATAAAATGTAATTAAATACCATTTCACATTTCTCTCCCTTTCTCTTTCCATTTTTACAGCAAGTATCCTTTATAGATCACTTACCAAAGATAGGTAGTGTAAATGTAAAAGCCTTAAAACACAACTCTATTATAGGTATTTGTAATCCACTCCAAAACGCACATTTCATCATACTATCCCCAAAACAGTCCTCTGCATCAGTTTCTAGTTTAGTTATAGCAAATGTCTTCATTTCCCACTTTTGGAGGTGGATTATGGCAAGTGAGGGTACTGTAACATATTTCATTCTGAGCAGCTAAACACAAAAGCAATTGAACTAAAAGTATGCTCGGTGTGCTTTAGGAAACAATGTGCTGTTTTATAAATGCTTTTACTGCTATGTATAAACTGGTCTTAGCTTTAAAATTAATGAAAGGCTTAAATTAATTAACTTATTTTATGAAATCCTCTGATACACCAATCTGAAAATGTCACATCTTATGATTTAAAAAACATACAGGTTTACATTATTATTCAAAAAATGCAGCTTGTTTTAGTTTGGCTTGCTTAAGCAAGGACACTGGCCCCACAGCCCCATGAGGCAAACAAATGTGTAAGTGAAAGACAATTCTTTCCAAAGGGATTGAGTGGAAAGGATTCTGCAGCTGGTATAGCAAGTGGTTGGTCTCCACTGAGTGCTTATAATCCAGGCATCTAACAAAAAGTTTGCATTTATGCTCTGTGCAATTCCTCTGATGACAAACGTTACATCGTGTTCTGCTGAACTTCTCTTTTGATCCTTTTGCGTTTCCTTCAAATATAATTTCTTGGGCAACAGAAGTTATGCCCTAGTGCAGACAAAAACACATTATCTTCTGCTAATTTATTCTTTTTATCCATATCTTTCAGCAGATGCAGAGGGTCTGCTCCTGTCAAGGCAACTGAAAAAAACAAACAAACAAACAAATAAACACATTGAAGTATGTAGGAAGAGAAAAAATACATAACAAAACTCTTAAACTATGACCACAAGCTATGAAGAGTATCTGAGCTGCTAAGTTACCAGACATTCACAGGGAAACACTTCAAAGTCTGAGTGAGGTGTAAGCACAAGAGTAAGGAAATAAATAATAAATTTAGAAGTACTGATATCTTGTTTGGGACACTTAGGAAGTATCAAAGGATACTAGAAGGATTTTATTAAATTTTGCCAGCCAACAAAGGAATGTCTATACCAAAGAAAGTCTATGAACAAACCAGGGCTGTGATCACAGCTTGATTCTGAAACCTACTGAAAAGCCACCAAAGTAATTCTAGATCAGTACTATTCTTAGTATCCAACATTTTCAATATTTATAGTGTAACCTATTTATAAAGGTCACTTAGTCTTACAGTCAAGTTACCTGACTTTTCAAAGGGATAAAGTAAACAGAAAACATAAGAGAATTTAACTGCTCATACATTGCTTCCAGGGCATGTCCTTTAATAATGTAGGGTAACTGATTACTTCAAGCAGTATGACATCAACCTATCAAAGTACGTGTCCCCAGTTATAAAATACCATCTCATTTTTTGTTAGTTTAGTATTGTCAGTTGGTTAAAAAAAAGCCATTTATCTGGGTTTTTCCTCTCCTAGTTTGAAGAGACAATTTTAGAACCTTTGGCAAAAAATAAAACAATACAAAATGAAATGCAATGTACCTACTTACCAGACTTATTTCTCCTGGAGATGACTGGTATCACATTGAAAATAAGTCCTTCAACTTTTGCATCTCCCAGTGATGTGTTCAGCCTGTGAGACTCTACTTGGGGGGAACTGTGGAATGTCCACTGGCACTTGAGGAAGTGTGAGACAGAATCCCTTCTTCCATCTTGTCCCTCAAGCAGTATGGCACCAAATCCATATCCACATCAGTAAGTACAGAAAGACATGTTCAGTCTTGTGACCTCCCTTCTCTTTTGCATTTTGGATCCATCTCTTCTGCATTTTCTTTCAAAGTCCAAGTAAACACCTTTATTCCTGCAGCAGGTCTAAAGTTGTACGTTTTTCATTCTTAAAAAGAAAAGTAACTCAAAACTTTTCCTTTAGATCAGGCTTCAACATGACACCTCAGAGTCACACTGAGGTAGTGGAAGAGCCAAAATATGCTTTGTCTACTAAGTCAGACTGAGAAACCGTAAGAAAGACATTGTACTCTCCCCCTCTCTGGCAGACCATCCAGTCTACATCAGGACATTACTGTCTTACTGGAAGGCAGAAACAGACTTTGGCCTACAGTGCCATTGCATCTTATAGTACATAACAGGTTTTAACAGAAAATATTTCATTTCCTAGGAAATTAGCTTCCAGGCATTTACATATTACATGTGAAAAAAACCCAGCATGGTACTGAGGGTTATATATACATCACAGGTATCTAGTAAAGGAAAACTATTTTTTTTAACAAGGATTATATATACTGTGTTAAGGGACATTGACGCTCACACGCTGGAGTGAATGATCTTAGAATACTAATCCTATAAAACACACTCGGAATAACAAAATCAAATATAAAAAAAAATCCTCAAACAAAATCTGCTTTACAACAATGTATGCAGACAATTCCATTAACCCTTTCCTTGTTGGAACCTTATTAGGTAGGAAGTAAGAAGAAATGTAGGTAAATAAAGAGCCTCAAAGTTCTAGAGCTGTGCTACGGAAAAAAGTGAACCACTTCTCACATATTTCTATTGTTATCAGCACACTCCAGAAAAATTGCTTCAGCTTATGTAAGAAGGAAAAATTAAACTACTCCTTTATAGTTTTTAAGTGCTGTATAACTGTAACTTTTTTTTCTGTGTATGTCACCTTGCACATTTATTAAATAAATAAGCTACTTATATTTCTTTTCGTCATACAGAATTTCCAAATTCAGGACAAGAGGCTTCATCAGCAATACTACAGATTATTTTCACAGATCTTCTAGTGAAACAAATTGTCTTGCTCCAATGACAAGACAAGAAAAACTGTATTAGTCAGAACTATAATGTTAGGTGTCTTTGAAGTGAATCAAAGTTTGTCAGCTGATTAGCAAAGAAATCCTTTGTCTTAACTTGTGCACAAATATTCCCACCCATCTGCAACTTTAATTGGCTGGAGTTACATATTAAAAAAATACATTATTTCTGAAGCAGGCTAAGATTTATGTGTGAGAGTTTGTTGTATACATAATTGCACTACTGATGCAATAAAAAAACATGGTATCAAGTAAACACTAATTGTGGGAAAATTTGCAAAGAAAGCAATAAGAAAATATAACTGGGTTTAGATGTAAAACATACTAGCTCATTTGCCCTTTTCCATTTCCTCCAAAATACTCTTTCCTGTAAATGTACTTCAATTTGAAGGTAACGTAATACTGAAAAAGAGGATCTGATCTTACAGGTTGACAAAATTAAGTCTTTCCTTACAATATGGAAAAGACTACGGAAGAGTGCCTTTGTTGAAAGAACAACAACAAAAGAGAAACATTTATACTCCTAAATGCCAAAATACGTCTTCTTCTTTTATATCTATGAGGAAAAAAATCAAGTCACTTGCTAAATACACAGCATGACTACTGACATTTAAATGAGTGAGACAGTTTGAAGGATGGAAATGCATTCTGATACTTAAAAACATTTAAGTTCTACTAAAAACCTCCATTTGCTAATTGAGTTCTGAATACCTGATAAAGGATGCAAATACATAACAAGGGGAATTCTTATTCTCGTCTATGGTCTATTCTTATCCATCTCATCCCTGACAGTCACATGCTTAACTGCAGTGTAACACTTTCTGTTGATACAATTTTCCTCCTTCCTTAAGTGCTACCCAAAAGGAGATGCAATAGATTAGACATGTGACCAAAAACTTACACTCTTAAAAAAAGGACAAAAACAATGCATCATTCATACCATCAGTACAGTCTTGGAGGAATCCCCAGGATATCGGAGGCTGAAGACAATCAAAGACCCCAGAACGCAAAAGAAGGTAAGGGTTGCAATGTTTCTAACATCTAACAAAGACTCCACGAGAGGAATAGTTCCCATTGTCCAGTCACAGCATAATTCTGAGGGGTTGAGAAGAAGCCAAGCATTCACAGGGAGGAGGTAGTTGAAAGTCAGCTGTCTTGCTGGGGAGGGACTAACAGCTGCTGGGTTATCAAACCTAAAGCACAAGAAATAAGAAAAAGAAGCTTTTAATGAAAAAAAAAGAAAGTATAATTGATCCACTTTATGCTCAGAAACAAAAAAAATTTAGATTCATAGCTAGAACTATCAATTACAGACAATTACAATATCCTAATCTTCCTGCATTTGTCAGGTTTATGACTTGGTAATGTAATACTGTAAAATGTAATACTGTACAGTCATTGTTTACCAATATTAAAATAAGTTAATAACACCTAAGTTGATATATTTTGGGCCACTTCATTCAGACCTCATTAAGCCACATCTTATGTATCAATGTCTGTAAATACACAACACTTTATTTTTACCTTGTAAACACTGGAAGTTGAGACTGGATAACCTGGACTCTGACAACTACAAGCAGCAGTGTACTGAACATTAGGACTATGAGCTTCAGCAGTGTCTGGAGCATGGAGGAAGGAATGCTACCCTTCCCTTGAAGAATCTGTACAGCTGTGTCCAACAGCACGGGCAAGGTGTACTGCAAAAGAGAAGTGTTCATAATCAGACTGAGTAGTCATTAATCTCTTAGATGAGTATGAGCTACCTGATTTTTTTATGCCTGCTCCCATAGTTACTTAACTCCGCTGGTTAAGAGCTTTCATGACAACACCCAAAAAAGAAGTCCACCATTCTAATAAAAATAACTATTTCAGGTATTCTTGCTAACACTACCACAGCTGAACTTGTATGCTTGTAGTTCTGTATTTTGCACTAGAAGATCAAAAAATCTGTACCATCTTCAGAGATTTCAATAAATCAAGTGTGACCATGAAAGAAATCACTATTTTTAGAATTATCAGTGCCTCTGAAAAGTAATCCTATAAACAAAATTCCTTAGGAAACTACTCACTTCCTGATTAGCCCCGATTTCTATGTCATGCTTCTACTGTAATAACCCATCTCTCCCTGTCTCATGAACTTTTTCATCTACATGGCTCCCCATTACGTATCCTAATTGTGTTTTTTTTTCCCCTGTGGACCTCATACTCTACATCTTCATGTCTTGTGCTGGTAATGATTTATTGCTTCACATATAATGGTTAGCTGAACCACAGATATCAATAGGCTTTTGAAAACAGGTCAAACTCCTAGTTAATGCTATACCTGTGCCCTCAGAAGAAGCCTCTGATTGGATATTGCATTATATTTTCTACTCAGTTGACTTACACAAACTTGCTAAACTTTCAAGACACTGAAGATCAGATCAAAAGTTAATAAAAGAAACAAAAAGTGGATTAAAAAGTATAGTCTGCTACTGGTGGTTTCTTAGAAATCCAGTTGAAAATTATATACTTATTCAACAGATTTGCTAAGGCAATAATTACAAACACTTGTATTTCTGTAAGCAAAAAAAAATAAAGAGATTTTGGTATTTTGGCTTTGAAAATATATTCCAACGACAGACAATCTTTCATCTTTTACTGGTCAAGTTTTTGTCAAAATATTCCTTCAAGTAATTAAATACCAGTAAATCACAAAACTTTCTTAGAATATGCAATAATGTATTTTTAAGTTGCATATGGTTTGACTATTAAAAAGCCAATTATTATTTTATTGCAGGAACATCTTGTTTATCTAGACAAAAAAAGTTACTATTAACTTAGAGACTTATTAAAGCTTAAGAGGAAACCTATCAGATTAGAAATTTAATTTACAAGTATTCTTAGAACAGATTCCATAAGAATATTACTGATTTAAGTAAGACCACGTAAAAACATCTGCTATTCATTAGATGTGATGAAACACATATGTATATGTTACCTATTTTTACTACAGGAATTAAAAAAATATTATTTTTAGTTTAAAAAATTAATTACTGCATCTCAGACTTTGATCAGGATTGTTACATGCTAGTCTTTGCAAAGCTCAGTCAACTAAAATCTTAGGTGTCCATTAAGACATATCAATTCTTTATTGAGTATACTTGGTAACATCTGTGTGTCACGTAAACGACAACTTAGAATGCACCAGATTCCCTTCGCTATGAACATTAAACATTAGTCAAGTAAAAAAAAAATCTGAAAAATGTAACAAATATAAAGTTAGCCTGAACTGACAAAAATCAGTGGTGAGATATGACACTTTGAAGCACTTAATGACTCATTACAGAATTCCAGAGAAGAAATCCGATTTTTAACAGCTTACCCCCTGAGAAATAAATACTTCATACACACAGCATATCCCCACCACCGTTATTCCTTGTTCTTTACACAGTGTTGCAACAGCTACCAGAAACACAGTCACTGCAATTGGAGTCCACACTGTAAATAAAGATGACATTATGGAAAATGTTCCATCTTAAACAAAACCAAACATTTAATAAAGTAAATTAGCCTAAAAAGTGAACACTTTGTCTCTTCATGTTTGAACATTCTATAAACTTACTCAGTATGCCATTTGTTATTAAAGGGAAGCTTATCAGTATTACTCTACGTGTATATTATTTTCTGCAGAAAATAATATACATATATCAGTTTTAAAACTAGCTCTCTTACATTGAAAGAATTAAAGGCAAAAGATTAATCTATTATAGGAAAACAAATAAACCCCAATTGTTGCTAGTTCACCAGAACACTTTCTCAAATGGAATATTTTATAGGGGGTCATGAATTTTCACAAGGTAAAATGTGGTAGAGAGGCAAGCCTCTGGCACATCTATTGAAACTTAGCAGCTTCCTTGTGAACATCTGAGGCATCTCAGCATACCTCTACTTCCATTAATAAAGTCAGTGCACAAGTCACCTACCCTACATCCTACAAACCAACTGAAAAAGCGCTTAATTCTTGAAGAAAAAAGAAAGGCAATTTATAATGGAAGTACTATAACTATTATGCAGTTTTTGTATATGCTGAACAAACAATACATCCTTATTACCATTTTAAGAGCTCTATTATCAGTGATACAGAAATTACTTATGTATACATTTGTCAATCATTTACCTATGGTATTATCTGGCCCTTTAGATTTTGTGTATGATAAAAATGCAGCTAGAAAAAAGATAGATGATAAAAGCTCTGCTCTGCCCACAACTCCAGTTACCTGAAAAATAAAAATAAAAATCAAGATTAATCTTCTAGTTGCTATTCTAGAACCAGAATCGTGGGTAACTGATAAACTATGATATGCATAAATGAGATCTATAAACCAAGAGAAAAAAGCTAAGAAGGGTAAGGCTGTTTTCCGTTCAATCAGTACTGAATTCAAGAACACTGCAACACAGGTGGCTGGTGTACCAGCCATGTATCACCATTAACAAAACAACTGAGAAGCACTATATTTTATCTCTAGTAACACAAGCCATAAATAGCATTTCAGGTAAAATTTGGGCACAATAACAATTCCTTTCTTCATAATACTTGGAAGAAACCAGTTTTCATTAATAAGAGCTTTAAGTGAAGCCTGAAAAGGACTGTTGTACATACATATTCTGCAGAAAGTGGCATATAGTAACTATAATTGTTATTTTTTTCATACCTGACTGAACAGATGTAAATCTGAAAGCAGAATTTGCTTGACTGGTGCTATGGCAGCTCTTAGTTGAGCAGTCAAGAAATACAAATAAACTGATGGCAAGCTCTGTGCAATGGACAACGTGCAATGACTCAGACTTTACTACAGGTTTGGTAATATTAAGAATTTTCATTTGGTTACCAATATTAACATTGCAGGTAGTGTCCCCTTTGGTAATGAGACAGAGTGGAATGGATTTTATGAAAATTTGGAGAAGCACTACAATCCATAGGGCAGAAGGTTGTTTCAGAATCCACAATGAAAGATTCATTTCCTTTTCAGGAGATGTTTTCAAGAAATGCTAAGGTGCAACTGACAACCAGAGATGGACAAGACCACAATGCTAACTGTTACTTCAGTAGCCACTGTGCTTGCTGACTGCAGTACCACCAAGGACTGCCTTTCTTTCTCCTTTGTCCTCTTCTGAAATGCCTCTGATTACAGACAGATTTTTCCAAGGCTGAAAAAATGGCATGTTATCCCCAGGTAGATGGTCATATTTAGCTACGGAAACCTCACAGACGACCATTTAATTATGATGATGCTGCAAACTGACATTTAGCCATCCAGACCTGGCTAGAAGGTTTTATTGCTAGGTACATTCTTGGTCAAGCATGATTGATCCAGCACAGCATAAAAAGTAACTCAGTATCAAAGGTCACAGCGTTAAGAAAGGTATTCAAATCTGGAGTAGCATACATTTATCAAAGAACTCATTGAATAGTTTTACAACTGATAGGATATCAGAGCCTGTGTTAACATTTTGGACAGTGTAGAGGTGTTTGTTTCCACAATGTTTAAGATTCCTCATCTGGATCTCAAAATTGTCCAGCATTAAAACAGATACAAAAAATAACTATGTCTGTACAAGAGCCGAAAGAAATCACTAGTAAAGCAAGTGTGATCTTGTGAACAAAAGAGAGCTGCTACTTCTGCACACAAAGGTGACTTATAAGAGAAAATTCCAGCATTCACAAGGTTAGCTGACATTCCATAGCTGTAAAAGTGGTCAACATGTCTCTGGCCAGAATAGTAGCAAAGTAGCTAGAAATACTGAATTGGAATTCTAAAGACAAGGACAAATGAAACCATGATGCTGCTATTCAATCAATTTCCTCAAAATTTCTTCCTCAGAAATGATACATTACCAACCCAAGAGCCCAGATTGTCTGTGAACTCAAGCAGAAAATTATTTTCTATTTATTCTGTTTTGCAAACTTTTCCAGGAAAAATCCATTATTGTAAGTTAGGTAAATATACAATGTTTATGTACTGCATCTGCTGTTTCAAACTGATGTGCAGGAGTAGTAGACAGGAGCCTAGTATGAAGGATTAAAATCAGATCTATTTCACTTACATTAAGATACAAAAGGTACCATCAAATTACATAAATCCTGAGAATGAGACTTGTTGTGGACAATAATGTCCAAATAAATTAGATGACACCCAAGTCCCCAGTCTAAAATACAGCTCATTATTACCTCCTCTTCTTAACGTGTGGAAACTTCCAGTTGTTTTGCTTTTTATACATGTGCACAAGTCTCAACTGCCAACTCTAGGAATCCTTTTTTGATTGCGTATTAGGAATAATTCTCAATGTAAACACCTGACAGGATAAAATGCACTATTTCTCAAAAGCAGAAAGCTTAAATTGAAAAAGACAGGAGGAAGAAGAAAATCCTTTTAACTGATTCTTCACTGAGTACTTAAGTCCAAGAGCAGGGGAATTCAATTACAATTGCACTTAGTCTCAGAGTCTGTAAGTGTTTTAAGCAAAGCATGAAGTTCTACAAATTACAGTCTTAAAGTGCCCTCATGTGGCTAATATTAGGGATTACACACATCATCAAACTGGTTTGTAACTGCACTTTCTAATCTAACTTTGTATTATTTTGCCTGACACAATAAAATTTCTTACACCATGTTTTGTAGGATTTGTGTGATACTTTTTGCTATCTCTGTTGCATAGCATTAGAAGCAACAGTGTTACTGTTATCTTTTATAAAATCTTAACTGTTCAAGCATGACAAAAAATCATCATATTTGAAATGAAAGTGGTAAGATGACATAGGATGATCTAAGCCATGAATCACTAACGCAAGTTACTAGCAACTCACTAATGCTCCTCCAAAGCTACTGCCACAAACTACAAAGAGACAAAGCCAAACTCTGAAATTTAAAGCATGTTTTTTTTTTCCAAAATACCCAGAAAACCATACGGGGGTGTTTGCTTTCCAGCACACAAAGCAAGCAAAAAAATTTAGGTGTTTTAGTGTCATGTTTAAAAATGCAAAAGTTACCTTCTTTTAACAAGGGCATAATAGTAGCTTAAATAGCAGCCGATTGTAAACACCATGAACTGAAGTCCTATCAAAATTTGCTCAAAATCCAAAGATGCAGGCTACTGAATTGCTACAGACAGGGGTTTGTGTCTTTAGAGTTCTTTAGAGAACCACAAAACATAAGAGCAAGATGGAAACTCTTTACTGAAACAAATCAAGATCCAGAAAACTCCAAGGTAAGAACAATCCTTATGTTCTTAATATCAAAAGACACCACTCTTCCCCCCAAAAAAAACACATTACATTTTTAAAAATGACAGAACACCAACTAAGTAAAAGGTTTAAGCATTTCCAGGTTTCTGAAAATCAACAAATACTATAACTAAAACAGAGATTGAGATGTGTGAACTGGAATCTAGGAAAGCCAACCTAAGTGGTGCAGAAATAACAGCAAATAATTGCACCAATCTGCTTTATCAGTGTTTCTGATGGAAACAAATCTAATGAATGGCGATCACAAGACTGCATTTACTCCATAACATTGCAAACCTGGTCAAGCATTAAAAAGCATACAATCAGAAGGCTTGTATAAATAAGGCTTCTCATTGTAGTGAAAAACTCCTTCAGAATCAAAAGCAAGGTAAATAAGAGGCAAGAAATGTACTTCCTCTGTTTTGTATCAGTTATTTTAAAAAAAGGAACATTCAAAGAGAATGGCCCTAAGCTAGATCTAGCAAAGCAACAACTATTCTAGAAGTCCTGCTGAGAGAGAGAAACAATATAAAAGATCTTGGACAGAGCAGACTTGGTGATTAGCTAGAGGGGAATGCTTAGCCTTTCTGGAAATTAATTAAGAGGTATTCAATGTATTTGCAAAACATGATACTGGATGAATTGTCACAGAACACAAGTATCTATGTAAGCTTAAGTAGCCAGCCATCAACATAAAAGACAGTGTTCATAACTGAGACCCCAGTTATTTAACAACTAAAGTTTATTTAATTATTTTTCAGTAGCTGCATGAAACACCAAACAGCTCCAAGCACTAAAATTTGTCATTTTCACTCATTGCAAAGGGCAGAGTAAGTAAAAGTAAAATCACACACTTTTTGGAGTTACAATATATAAAACAGATATAAACCTCATGAAACAAGATTAAGTAATACAGCTTGAACAAATTAAGCACATCACTGATATACCTACCGCTTCAGTATGTATTGGGTGCACTGCAAATAGCAAGGATGCAACCATGCTGCTCCTGTTGTCCAGAAAAAGCTTACAGACCTTGAGGAAGACTACACACACCACCGCATGAAAGACCAGATTTAGGAAGTGATAAGAAACTGCATTTAACTCGCTGAACAAGTAGTTTAAGCGAAACGTAAGAACTGTAAGGGGACGGTAAGATTTATGACTCCTCTCCTAAAAGAAAATAAATAAATCTATCAGTCACCACCAACTTACAAAGGCACATTCACCCTAAAATATCTAAATATTTATGCAAACATGATTCTCCCCTCTGTTCTCAGGCACTTACCTTTAACATAAAGACCTAAAAACCAGAAATACTAAAAAAACCCCAAAACACAGTAAAAAATCTAGTGAATTAAATGAAAACTCAATTTAAAATAAAAATGTTAGAGAAGTTAATTCTGACAATTTTTCCTGTTTCCACATAGTTTTAATGTATTCTTCAACTACATTGATTACTCTGCCATTTCATTTTTTAGATCAGTATTTTGTAAAATAAAAATTTGGTGCACTCAGCTAAATGTATTATATGCATTATTTTCAATACATCTACCAGCCAATTTGTCTATGTTGTCAGTTACTCTATCCATGAACAATGTTAAAGAATACACTTAACACCATCTTCCTGCTCCAAAATGCATTGGTCAGCCCAGAGCTTGTTGATGCTTTGCTGACTAAGTCCATAAAATAAAGGAAGAAAATCTAAGAAAAAACTGGGGAATGAGGGATGAGGAACCAGACTGCATATACATACAGACAAAAATACAAGATGGAATATTTTAAAAGCCACAAATGATCAAATTAATCTGACTTTGTTTAGTTAAAATTTATCTGAGTGTCACATTTGGTTTAAAGTGTAAAAGTAACACCAAATGAGATGACTTTCACCTGCTCTACATGGTTAGGGGTTTTCTGGAGTAAAAACACAATGAAAAGCACTACTCAAAATTTTACTGGGAGGAGTTTAGGAACCCACTTACTCTAAATGACTACAGGACTAGGTGGCATCTGAAAGAGTCTGGAAGCTTTTATTACATATGAAAATTATGTAACAAACACAACTTGTAGAGCTAGCAATTCATATCTCACCAAGAAATAACCCTGTATGTTATGGACAGAAGAAAAAAGATTTCAAGGCAGAATGCCTTGACAGGCCAAACACAACTGTCAGAGAACTTGCTCTGAAAAAATTAATTTGATCAGCAACAGCAGGATGTATAACTTTCTAAACTATACCATACTATATATATGTAAATACTTTAGCCATTGCCATTTAACAATGATTATCAGTAACTTTATGCCAGTGGAGCTTTTCAGACAAAAACATAGCCACCCTACATGGGCTACAAACCAAAACCACTGAATTCATAAAAACATATTTACTCCAACAAATTTAATAGTTTCAATATGAAATTTCTTAACTCCTAGCTTTGTTGCTTAAGAATGCTATATTTCCTTCCAGATGCAATTAGAAATAAACCTCTTTGCATGTTAATGTCTACATTTTTCAGAAGGGAAAATGGTCAAAGTTGTCTCATTTTGATATTGGAATTAGACAGCACACAGCATCTTGAAGTGTGACACATTATTTCATTTTCTTACAAGTTCTTTTATTGAACAAGGGAAAGAATATAAGCAACATCTGTTCCTGATCTTACAGTATCAAACACTAGCACCAAAAAACTCCATCCAAAACAAACTATTCTGCTAAAACCACATTAGGGAAAAGAAGTGTAAAAAAGGTTATTTGCCATTTCCTAAAGGCCTCAAAGTGTTTACCTCTGACATTGGAGTGCCCCAGAAGTCATTCTGAAAGAGATTTCTCAACGGAGTAGAAGGATGCAAATCTTTATTGTCCAAAATGGCTGAAACATCATCAAAAACAAAGCCACAAGATAGACTGTTCCAGTAGCAGGCTGCCACCACACCAACTATTAGCGCTGCTTCCTTCAGGCTTACATCAGCCATCTTCTCTAAGAGTTTTCATGGACAAGAGCTGAAATATATAGAGAGAGAAACTTGGAATAGTTCTACTGATTATACACTGAATAGATAAAGTCAAATAAAGACATCCAATATTTTAGAAGTTAATGACTCAACGTATCTAAAAATGAGTAAGATACAAAGCATTTCTGAAGTTTCATCTATCATACACAATTTAGCATTTTAGAGTAGTATTTTTTATTAAAAAGTCTAACCCCTAAAAAGCTCTCACACATGCTGGTTACAGTGCTACATTTCATGTTGTACTAAAAGAAGAAGACTGAAGATAACTTATGATGTAGTTAACAGACAGCTATGCAGTTCAAAGGGAATGATGCGAACTGCAGAACTATGAAAATTAAGTTACCTAGAAACTTGAGTTAATTAAAATACTGACATAGAATACTAAGTTATCAGAAGGGCAGACGGTGTGCTAAATATTTCCAGTTTTATTTTTTAGGTTTAAAGTTGTTTCTCATAATGTGTGAAAAGCAATAAAACCCCACATTTCCAACATTCTTAAAAACAAAAAGGAAACTTTAAGAGCTTCATACATACATTGAAGATCAGTTAAAAAAGGATATTAGTAATGATAAAAAGTTAAACTTACCATTGAAGCTCACACTTTGTTTATCTGCATTTTCTGTTGAAGTTCATGAAAAGTTCATTTTTTTCTCAACTCCGCCAATTGCTCTGATGTCACTGAATGTTTATGAGAGTCCTGTTTGAAGAAAAACAGCATGCAAAAAAGACATTAAAAATTAACTATATCATATTATTTCCTCTCATTGCATAAACTTCTTAAGCACTAGAAATTATTATACAGAATTATGATTATTTAAAAAACAATATGTGGGTAACCTGATCAAAAGGCAAAATTACCATGTACGGGGTTGGCTTGAAAACACTTCTGCCTTGGAAGAATAAGAAGGTAACTACAGGTCAAAGGCATTATTTCTGACCACTGGGTGATACAGCATGGACTACTGCTAATTGTTTGTCTTTGCCAATTCAAAGATACCGAAAAACTACAGATACTTGAACTGTGACTTAGTTTTGAGAAAAAGGGAAGATGATTAAACAAGAATATATAGCTCTTTCCCAAAACTACAGGAGTAACAATTGTAAGGACATAGAACAGCTTACATTAGCCAGATAATGTGGAGCCATAAATGTGTAAAAACACCAGCCTTATGCCTATCAGGGTTCACACATTAAAGCTTATTAGCTACTTGGAAGCTATATGCTGTTTTATTGTCCTAAGGCTTGAAATACTAGGGGTGAGTAGTTTTTAGTTTTCTTGTTTTTTTCAATTGTGTTCAGGTTTAAGCATCTAAAAAACATCCTCTAAAAACAGGAAACAGATACATTCAAATAGGTAATCTCAGTTGTGGTTTGCAGCCTGGGCCTGAGATAATGACAAAACACCTATTACAACTACTGGTAAAGGAGCAGTGGTACAGGAAGAAATACATGGGCAATAAGATGCAGGTGTAAAAATCAGAACAAAGATATTTTAAAGGAATCAAATCAATCCATTCAGTTGTACTCACATAATGGCAGTGAAGGTTTTTTTTCTTTTATAGTATTTGAAGCACTGGCTGTTGATGTTACTTCAATCATAAAAGAGCCTTTTTTTTCAAAGCTGCCACTACCTTTGTAATAAAAAAAAAAAAAAAAAGGAAAAAGAAAATGTTAAATGATGCTTCTACATCTTTTTGACAGGCTGGATTAGAGTACTTTAAAACACTAAGACAAGATTAAATCTGAAAATATTTATGGTCTTCTTGGCAGACAGAGAAATCTTGTTAAAAAAAACAACAAACAACACATACTTCAGGATTAGATGCAAAGACAGCTCACTTTAGAAATTCAACTCACTAGTTTTTCCTCCCCTCAAAGAATGTGGAGAAGTAACTGCTGTTTCTCAACCTGCTAGAGTTTGAAATTCCTCATTTGCAACAGCTTCTGAACTGTGTACTTCCTACTTCTTGAAGTTCACTAGTTCTACTGAAAAGCAGTGACATCTGAAAACAACCTACAACAAACATGTAATGATATTCCAACATACAAGACTACATTTTTAAAATAGTGTGCTCCAGAAATTAATGGGATAATATTGCCATGCAGAAACAACCATAAGGTTTATTTAAATTCATCCTTTAAGAAAAAATATCTCAAGGCAAGCAGGTTCTTGGTGACCTGAGACTTCTTCATTAGCAACTTAAGTTCACTGTATTAGCTGAAGCAGCAAGACCTTGCAGGCACTGCTTTAAGCATCAGAGTAACTGACATAATTCTTCTACAATCCTATTTCAGAGACATCTACTGCTACACAAATAGAATAGCAAACAAAAAATAAGATACATTCCTAAGTATAGCCTCATAACCATACGAAATGGCTTAACCATACTTAACTGCTAGCTTCTCAACTACCTTTTGTAGGTTTATACTTTTCTTTTCCCTACCTAGAATACATACGAAGACAGCTACTTTATTTATCCCTTATTTCTAAGCAATTCTGATGTTTCATAAGCCTTTCTTTTTGCTCTGATTTTTTAGCAATTCTTCCACCTAGAACCATACTGTGTTCCCTGATAGAGCTACATTTACATGAAGAAAATACTGTTTTCGTTGGAATGAAAAAGAACTCTTAGGCATAAGGAAATTAAGATTTTAACTGCATCCAAAGTCAGGTTTAAGTGGCTAGCCCAACATGAGAGAAACCGGTTTAAGAATTTCAGAAAAAATTCTTTAGCACTGTAATTTTTCATTTACAATTCAACCTCTCCTTTACATGTAAATTTTAATCAGATATGATTGCAAATACACCTACATACAGGGCTCCGACTTGGTCTTTCAAAACAAGTATTTAAACCACCAACCCTCCAGGCAATTCCGAAAAGGTTACTAAATGTACTATAAGGAATTAACATATGCAACTAAATGCATTATTCTGGTTTTAGCAGCAAGTGTGCTAAGCTTGGTAACTTCAAATGTTACTTCAAAAAGACACCATACAGCACCACTAGGTCTTGGCAACAGACGGACAAAATAGAAATTCAGAAGAACCCCCATTTTCCAGCAATCTGCTTCCAGGGCAAGCACCAGAGAAACAATAGGAAATGCAAGACCACATAAAATCGGTAGATCACACAAAACTAGCACAGATACTTTACTACTTCTGACCTGCATTCTAAGGTCATATTTTCCTCAAGTATACTTTAGAGATACATAAAGTTAGGACAATTACTTTTTCCATCCGGTGCGATCACAAGGTAGCTTAATGTTCTCATTGAAATATAGCATAAATATGAAAAATATGTTTTAGTGGTCCTTTATGTTAGCAAAACAAAACAGATTTTGAGGAATGCTCACAATCAGAACTATTATTTCCTTTCTGCTACTACAGGTGAGTCTACCAGCAAACACCCAAGTTTCAAAGCTAGAATGATCTTTAACGTTTGAGAATGTGAGACTAAAACAGAGGGACGCTTATTAAAGCTCATCTGTACTTGGTAAACCAGCCAAAAAGGTATGTCTGCCACTAATCTCAAAGGAAAAAAGCAAATGCTATTTGGCAGCCAATATGCTTTTCATGACAACTAATAAGTTACCAGATTGATTTTGGAAATTAAGAAGCCATAGAAAGAGTATGCAGGACCTCAAAGATCACAGATACGCAAGAAGCTCCTGAAGCCTTTGTATGACTGAGCTCCTCATGTACATCATGGTGAGTGGATATATTCCCCTTCTTGCCCAACAGACATACTGAAATTTGGTATCAACCAAAGTCTGGTCTTGCCAGTGTCAGACCTTCACCACTCCCAGTGGTGGGTATACTGATAAATATCTGCAAAACATGCTAGCTACTTGATAATACAGGCTTGCTGTGACTAAGAACCACATCACTGACTGTTCCAACACATGCAAACAGATTGACTGTCCCTGAAATTATTTTTTCATCTCATGTACATACTACTTTCACAGTTTGTAAGACCTGTGAAAGATATCTTAAACACTCCTTGGGCGGTATGACTTCCAGTTTGTGGTCTATGGCACAGCCACAGAGCCTCCTTTAACTGGATGAAATCAGGACAGACACATACTTTATTAGCAAGATTTCTGGTGGATGTTTTATTTTACAAAAATATCTGAACATGTCATGAAGAATATACAGCTGAAAAGAATATGCAGCAAATTAAGTCCTGCAAGACTGAAACTGTACGGTTTTGAGAGCTGATAGTGGAAAATAAAATGCCCGAGCTGTGCAAAACACCTGACTGTTAGTCTAATTTTCTCAAGCTCTTCAGTACAGAAATCTGCATTTTGCATTGTATTGCTTTCATGCATGTACAGATATTAAGTGGACAGGACAGACAATAATCACAAATGTCAAATGGCTCAGTTTGTAAAGCATGTAGTTTTTGTCTTCCAACTTATTGAGAACCCTCTATTAGTTCACCCAGGCTTCTCCTTCAAGAATTATTGACAAGAATAAGGCATAACAAAAAACCCAAACAAACAGAAAAAGCAAATCCAAAACCCTTTCAGAAAGGAAACTGACAGGAAGAAACGGGATCATTAAAATTAATCTTAAACAGATGTCATAGTTGCAATGTTTTAACCTTTTGTATGAAAGCTCTTACTACTCCTGAAAATACTCAGCATAACTGGCACGCTATTGATATTTGCATCTTTTGGTATGGTTAGTATTTTAAAAGTCAGTTGAAGTTGTCCATGAACTTTTTAAAAAATTTATTTATTCACTGTATGTAACAGAACATCAGCTATGACAACCCAAAGATTGATTTTATTTATTTATTTTTTAATGTTGTATTTGGAGAATATTTCAATACACACTTTATTCAACAGTCATAGATACTAAAATTCACCTGACACTTTTCAGTCAATGTTAGCACTTCAAACCACAATTAAACTGTAATTGTTCTCTGGAGATGATGATGTAAGCATCCATGAGGGAACAGAGTCTGTAACTCCACAGAGTCACTGATAAACAGCGCTTAGCATGTGCAATGTGAAGCATAATTATTATTATGCAAATCTCAAGGAACTTAAATTTTGTTATATTAATTAGGCTGCTGGAAACAGAAAAAACAGGCTGCTTGTGTACAGATGAGGCAATTTATTGAAAAGCTTTGAAAACAAACTAATGAGCATTTATGCATATATCTAATAATAAAATGTGGGCTTTCCACTCTCCTGTTCGGAGTTCATAGACATGAAAAATTTACCAATAATATTCATGCATCTCATACATCTCTGGAGACATGCACTTTGGTATCTATTAAGGTCCTAAATTGTTTAAAACGTATTTACAGTTCACACAGAAATCCATCAAATTATGAAAGGTGGAAGAAAATAAAGAACTGTCAAAACCACTCCTAGATTTATTTTTAAACAGGCGAGAAACAAGTTAATCTAAGAGCTGGTGGTTGTATTACTGAATATCAAATACGAATGAGGGACTTTTTACTAGGGTATCTAGTGGCAGAAAAAGGTGTAACAGTTTTAAGAGGGTAGATATAGGTTAGACACAGAATAAATTCTTTACTGTAAGGGTAGTGACACACTAGAACAGATTGCCTCATCCTTGGAAGTGTTCAAGGCCAGGCTGGATGGGGCTTTGAATAACCTGGTCTAGTAGGTGTTTGTGCCCATGCAGGGAGGTTGGAACAAGATTATCTTTAAGGTCCCTTCCAACCCAA